ACGGCTCCAGGAACGGATTAATTTACGAACAAAGAGGGACCACTGTATATATATATATATATATATATATATATATATATATATATATATATATATATATATATATATATATATATATATATATATAATATATATATATAATATATATATATATATTATAAACCACGAATGAGTGGTATTTAACCAATAACAACACTGCTACTATCCGAGGACTCGAACCCATGTCAGATCGGGTGGTCCTGTGGGTTAGAGCGTCATGTGCTCACCAAGAGGTAGGCCAAGACGACATGGATTCGAGTCCTCGGCTAGTCACAGTGTTGTTATGTATGTATGTATGTATGTATGTATGTATGTATGTATGTATGTATGTATGTATGTATGTATATATATATATATATTATAATATATATATATATATATATATATATATATATATATATATATATAATATATATTATATATAATATATATATATATATATATATATGCATTAAGATCACAGTAAACAGGTGATTTCAGAATATGCAAAACAACCATTGTGAAAAAATGAGAGAAATTCCAAGCTCTTTCGTGACTACTCTCGTGACTATCATTGTTCCTTGATAATGTGAGTAGTCACGAAAATGCTTGGAATTTCTCTATTTTTTCACAGTGGTTGTTTTACATACTCTGAAATCACCTGTTTACTGTGATCTTAATGTATATATATATATATATATATATATATATATATATATATATATATATAATATATATATATATATATATATACCTATCTCCAATACACCAGGGAAGAAGGAGGGGCAGCCGCCAGCTTCAGGGAGTCCCAAAAGTCTAGAAAATATGGAGAACTTTCCCATCATTATATGTTTGTTCCCATAGGCTCAGAGACCCTTGGCTCATGGGGAAAGAGTGAATCTAAGTTCCTTAAAGAGTAAGACAAAAGATTCATGAAGGTAACTAGGGATCCCAGGACAACTAGTTTTCTGTTCCAGCGACTCAGTGTTACTGTTCAGAGGGGTAATGGCTGCTGTATTTTGGGCACGCACCCCAGTTCTGAAGATCTGGATGAGATTATCGCATTATTATCAGTGACAAACATGTAACAATATGTACTAGACATGTATCTCTCACACCTCATGTACTGCATGTGTCATCTTTATATCAACAATGTATCTCTTAAATCTTCTGTACCATATTATGTGATAAAATATACTGATTGGTAAAAAAGAATGAAAAGATGGGGTGGTAGGGGGAAGTGGAATATTTAAACGGCTTCAGTAAGAAATTCAAATATTCTTCCTTGAAGCCTTTTTATCCATTTCACCGAGGCTGTGGGTCCCACAATTTACACCAGAGGTGGACCCTCATATATATATATATATATATATATATATATATATATATATATATATATATATATATATATATATATATATATATATATATATATATGTATGTATATATATGTTGAAAGCTACTAGGATTAAATATGACTATATAAATTAAAGCGTTAACACACATATGTATAGAAATATAAACATAATACTATACACATAAGTAGTAAAATGGGACTAATGTATTAAAAAGTTTTTCTTATAAGCTTGTTACAAGCATTGTTCTTAATTACAATAGTGATGTACTATGTACGTGTATCACTACGTACAAGAAATACGCGAGGTAAGAGACACCACAGTAGTGGTGCCACACTCATCTACTCATCACCGAGACACCACAGTAGCGGTGCCACACCACAGTAGTGGTGCCACTCATCTACTCATCACCGAGACACCACAGTAGTGGTGCCACACCACAGTAGTGGTGCCACACCACAGTAGCGGTGCCACACCACAGTAGCGGTGCCACTCATCTACTCATCACCGAGACACCACAGTAGCGGTGCCACACCACAGTAGTGGTGCCACTCATCTACTCATCACCGAGACACCACAGTAGTGGTGCCACACCACAGTAGTGGTGCCACTCATCTACTCATCACCGAGACACCACAGTAGCGGTGCCACACCACAGTAGTGGTGCCACACCACAGTAGCGGTGCCACACCACAGTAGCGGTGCCACTCATCTACTCATCACCGAGACACCACAGTAGCGGTGCCACACCACAGTAGCGGTGCCACACCACAGTAGCGGTGCCACACCACAGTAGCGGTGCCACACCACAGTAGCGGTGCCACACCACAGTAGCGGTGCCACACCACAGTAGCGGTGCCACTCATCTACTCATCACCGAGACACCACAGTAGCGGTGCCACACCACAGTAGCGGTGCCACTCATCTACTCATCACCGAGACACCACAGTAGCGGTGCCACTCATCTACTCATCACCGAAACACCACAGTAGCGGTGCCACACCACAGTAGCGGTGCCACTCATCTACTCATCACCGAGACACCACAGTAGCGGTGCCACACCACAGTAGCGGTGCCACACCACAGTAGCGGTGCCACTCATCTACTCATCACCGAGACACCACAGTAGCGGTGCCACACCACAGTAGCGGTGCCACACCACAGTAGCGGTGCCACACCACAGTAGCGGTGCCACACCACAGTAGCGGTGCCACACCACAGTAGCGGTGCCACTCATCAAACTCATCACCGAAACACCACAGTAGCGGTGCCACACCACAGTAGCGGTGCCACTCATCTACTCATCACCGAGACACCACAGTAGCGGTGCCACACCACAGTAGCGGTGCCACACCACAGTAGCGGTGCCACACCACAGTAGCGGTGCCACTCATCTACTCATCACCGAGACACCACAGTAGCGGTGCCACACCACAGTAGCGGTGCCACACCACAGTAGCGGTGCCACTCATCTACTCATCACCGAGACACCACAGTAGCGGTGCCACTCATCTACTCATCACCGAGACACCACAGTAGCGGTGCCACTCATCTACTCATCACCGAGACACCACAGTAGGGGTTTGCCACTCATCTACTCATCACCGAGACACCACAGTAGCGGTGCCACACCACAGTAGGGGTGCCACACCACAGTAGCGGTGCCACACCACAGTAGCGGTGCCACTCATCTACTCATCACCGAGACACCACAGTAGCGGTGCCACACCACAGTAGCGGTGCCACTCATCTACTCATCACCGAGACACCACAGTAGCGGTGCCACACCACAGTAGCGGTGCCACACCACAGTAGCGGTGCCACACCACAGTAGCGGTGCCACTCATCTACTCATCACCGAAACACCACAGTAGCGGTGCCACACCACAGTAGCGGTGCCACACCACAGTAGCGGTGCCACACCACAGTAGCGGTGCCACACCACAGTAGCGGTGCCACACCACAGTAGCGGTGCCACTCATCTACTCATCACCGAAACACCACAGTAGCGGTGCCACACCACAGTAGCGGTGCCACACCACAGTAGCGGTGCCACTCATCTACTCATCACCGAGACACCACAGTAGCGGTGCCACACCACAGTAGCGGTGCCACACCACAGTAGCGGTGCCACACCACAGTAGCGGTGCCACACCACAGTAGCGGTGCCACACCACAGTAGCGGTGCCACACCACAGTAGCGGTGCCACACCACAGTACCGGTGCCACTCATCTACTCATCACCGAAACACCACAGTAGCGGTGCCAAAACCACAGTAGCGGTGCCACACCACAGTAGCGGTGCCACAACCACAGTAGCGGTGCCACTCATCTACTCATCACCGAGACACCACAGTAGCGGTGCCACTCATCTACTCATCACCGAGACACCACAGTAGCGGTGCCACTCATCTACTCATCACCGAGACACCACAGTAGCGGTGCCACACCACAGTAGCGGTGCCACACCACAGTAGCGGTGCCACACCACAGTAGCGGTGCCACTCATCTACTCATCACCGAGACACCACAGTAGCGGTGCCACTCATCTACTCATCACCGAGACACCACAGTAGCGGTGCCACTCATCTACTCATCACCGAGACACCACAGTAGCGGTGCCACACTCATCTACTCATCACCGAGACACCACAGTAGCGGTGCCACACTCATCTACTCATCACCGAGACACCACAGTAGCGGTGCCACACTCATCTACTCATCACCGAGACACCACCAGTAGCGGTGCCACACTCATCTACTCATCACCGAGACACCACAGTAGCGGTGCCCCCACCTCATCTACTCATCACCGAGACACCACAGTAGCGGTGCCACACTCATCTACTCATCACCGAGACACCACAGTAGCGGTTCCACTCATTATTTTCTTTTTGTCTCTCTACAACTAATTACCCTTAACCTATTTTCCACTATTTCATCCCCAACCATAATCCCCCCTCCCCTCTATCCTATTCTATCAGTCTCTTATTATGTTCTAGGAAAAAAAAAACCACGCTAACTATTTTACTAATATTGACACTAATAAAAAACTGAACGTTGAAAAATTTATATTTAAAATTAATAAGATATACAGATTAAGATTATAGTTATAACTAATTCAGAAGCCTGTTTTCTATTATAGAAATAAATTAGAATATCTAGGAGTGTAAATAAAATAATATTTTACTTGACATTTATTACCATAAGCTTGATGAGGATATATATTTAATATAAGTGGTGAGCACTCCGTCACCTGAGGAATACGTTGTATATTTACAGCATGAAGTTTGTGTGTCTAGCAGCTGGTGTGACCTTGCTCGCCCTGGCAGTGGCACACAATACCCACCAGGGAATGAACCCCGGGGATAATGCTCGAACTAGAAGGGAGGACAGTCGCATCTTCTTCCCTGGACAGCCCATCACCAAGCCTGTAACTCAGCCTGTATCCCAGCCTGAACCCCGGCCCAAGCCTGACCACCGTGGTGTAGTAGCACTGCCTAAAGATTTGGATCTGGTGAGTAGCTCTCTCATGGTCTTGCTTGTCATATATGATTTATGAATTAAAATTTACCTACTCCCGGGTGTGGAATATATAATTATTTGTATATTATAAATGTTATTACCATTAACTACATCGTTGTGCGTAGATACTTTTCTTCCCAACTCCTGAGGACTTTAGTAACTCTTGACTCTTTTTTATATATTTGCATATCAGCAAAATAATATGAACTTTCATTAAAAAAGGCCTAACTTGTGCTATAACTGCTCTGTTCAGAAACTGTGTCTGAAATCAGATAAACCTTACCTTATATGTATACTTATATGTATATTCCAGAGATCCACCTCTCTGTCTCTACTGTTGTAGGCTCGAGAGATAAATAAATAGGTAAATTAGAAACTCTATATATATTTAGAGTGTCAATTCTTCACAATCTTAAACAAGATAATGAACTCCAGGTAGGTTTGGTCACAATCATGACAAGTAACTTGCTCAGCTATCAAAACTTTGGAGTCCAGTGTACCTCTGTAATCTTTTGACTACCGCCCACAGGATGGGTATGTGGTGACTGCCGCCCACAGGATGGGTATGGGGTGTATAATAAACATATTAAACTAACTAACTCTTAAACAAGGAGGCTATAAAAAAATATCCCTGGATTGCTGATAATGTAACGGGCCCTCGTGAGGCTTGGTTGATGTTAGACCAGTGTTCTCTGCATCTATCCTTCACGTTTCGCACTTCCGAGATCCGTGTTGAAAATAGGGTATGCCGAGAAGGTTTAATATTAGCATCCTCATAGGTAACGAGAGGGTATACTCGTGCTAGCGTTCATTTTGTTTCCGTTTTGAGGGTAAACTATGACAGACTGTTCTACACGTTAACCCCATCGGAAATCGCGTCCCAATGTCCGTATCACTGTTTCGGTCTTTTCTAGAAAGTATAGCGTCTCCCGTAGGTTGGTGGAGGTGAGAATATGCTCCTGTTATTTCTAAACTTCTTGCACAGGTTTAATGTAATACCGTAAAAGGTAGATAACAGTACTGTTTTGACAGTATACTGTAATGAATTGCTAGTACCTAATGGTAGTAATTAGTCTATTTAGACCCTGCATATGAGTGTGGTTACACAGGTTTATGCAATATACATAGTAACATGCAAAACAACCACGGTGAGAGTTAAATGATAGCTTTAGGCCTTTTGTGTTTCAATCAACACATCATCGCGGGGGTTCGTGGCCTGGTTGGCAAAGCTCTCACTTCAAATGCAGCGGGGTGAAGAAATTTCGACGCGTTTCCTTACACCTGTTGTCCTGTTCACCTAGCAAGTAGGTACCTGGGTGTTAGTCGACTGATGTGGGTCACATCCTGGGGGACAAGATTGAGGACCATGATGGAAATAAGACAGACAGTCCCTTGATGACGCACTGTCTTGGGTTATCCTGGGTGGCTAACCCTCCGAGGTTAAAAATCTTATCTTATAACAAGCTCGCAATGATATAGAAAAGAGGAGGTCCAAGCTAGTACGGTCACAGGGAACGTCCTTGGTGGAGCAAGGACGTTCCCTGTGACCGTAGTTGCTTGGACCTCCACCTCTTTTCTGTATATCTGCAGCATAGTAACATATGTGCGAATTTCCTAGGATAACATGTAGAGTTGTTTCCTAGGACAGCCTAGGGAGGTCGGGCAGAGGAACTTATCGCCTCTGGGGTCCTAGCAAATTTTGAAACATTGGAACGATCTTGGAGAAGAGTTGGTATATATTGTAGGAATCTTTGTAGACAACACTTTCTGAAACATTCTCGGACGAATAAGGTGACACACAATACACAAGATTTTTTAAAAAAAAATTTTTCCAAAAAAATTTTGGGGTTTTTTAAAAAAGGGGGTTTTTTCCTACCGAAAATTTTTTTTTTTGGGTTTTTAAAAACCGGGGTTTCCCCCCCCCAAAAAACCCCAAAAAAAAAAATTTTTGGGGGTTTTAAAAATTTCCCCAATTTGGGGGGGGGTTTTTTTCCCCTTTTTTTTAAAAAAATTTTTCCCCCTTTTTTAAAAGGGGGAAAAAAAAGGTCCTAAAGGGGGGTTTTTTTTGGAAAAATTTTTTTTAAATTTTTTTAAAAACCCCCTTTTTTTTAAAAAAAAAAATTTTTTTAAAAAAATTTTAAAAAAAAATTTTTTAAAAAAAAACCCGGGGGGGGGTTTTTTTGGGGGGGTTTCCCCCCGGGGGGGGGGCCCCAAAAGGGGGGGGGGTTTTTGGGGGGGAAAAATTTTTTTTTTTGGGGGGGCCCCCCCTTTTTTTTTTATTGGGGGGGGTTGGGAAAAAAATTTCCCCCAAACCCAAAAAAAACCCCGGGGGGGAAAAATTTGGGAAAAAAAAAAAAAACCCAAAAAAAAAAAGGGCCAAAAACCCCCCGGGAACCCCCCCAAAAAAAAAAAACCCCCAAAACCCAAAAAATTTTAAAAAAAAAAAAAAAAAAAAAAAAAAAAAAAAAAAAAAAAAAAAAAAAAAAAAAAAAAAAAAAAAACCCCCCCGGGGGTCCCCCCCCCCCCCCCCCCCCCCCCTTTTTTTAACCCCCCCCCCCCCCCCTTTTTGGGCCCCCCCCCCCAAAAACCCCCCCCCCCCCCC